CACTGCGCACACTGCGCGGCAGCTTTTTAAAAAGCCATTTAAACTTACAAGCTTGTTAAGCTTGCCCCAAATCCTGCTGCCGCTTCATTTCACCATTGGGGGCATGCCGTTTAATGCAATTTCACGTCGCTTTTTATCGCCGCCTAAGTAGCCACTAAACGGCAGCTCTTTAATCTCAACGACTTGGCGCGTATGCCCCAAAAAAAAAATCAAGTACTCTCTTGCCGGGCTACACCGGAAAAAAAATAGCATCTTATTAACTTGATAATCCCAGGTTAAAAATATATTTTGCTATTGTTGGTAACGTTTTGATAAGTGCATGGTAACAATAATGAAACAGAGTAATATACTGCAGAGGCGTGGCGCAATCGCATTACGCGAGCAATCGCTCTACGGTTAAATAGGACCAGGGTTCGACTCCCTAGAAAGAATTTTTTTCTAATGATGGTAGTTGATAATTGTTTAAATTCTTGTTGTGATTACAATAAAACGTAAGCTTTATAAAAACCATTTTGACGTTACGTTAATCCATTTTAATGTTTTCCAACTATTTTTGTTGTTGTTTGTACATTTATAATTAATTTTTTTTTGTGTGTGGTCAAAGAAATGAAAATGAACTTTCTTTGGAGCTTGGGCTTCCAGCCAGCGCAGTTGCGCCCACCTTGTTAAGCGCTAAGGACTCGCTGGGAAAAACTGGTCCCTTTTTTAACGAGGCGCACACTTGCCTGAGATCTTGGGGATTGGGATTTATTTTTAGTTAACGCTAAATTGAACCGTGGCCAGTGGCTCGTTCGGTCGATGGTTCATTCCTTCGTTCGGTTGGTAATTGCGGATTAAATGCATCGCGGGACCTCATCATCAGATCGCGTACGCTGGGGGAATCTGATTAAGAATATTTCAATTAGCTCGGTCATAATGCTGGGTGCCACCTTCATATCCATCACCAGTTATTCCAGAGGTATTCCGATGGCTTCTGCTCCTGCTCCTGCGCATGCCAGTTAAATTGCTGGCAAACTTTCCCATCAGCCAAGTGGAAAGAAAGTTTTGGTTTGTACTTTGTTGCGTTTGGTTTCTGCATCGGTTTTTGCATTTTTGATTGATTCGATCTTTAGGATGCATTTTGGCATGCTAATTAAGTCACTTGACCGAAGGGGATGGGCAATCGAGATGGCCAGTTGCGGATTCCAGTTAACGAGGTTCGATTAAATGGGCGTGTGGCGATCTTGACAAGGGGCTTTGGATTTAGCTTTTGGCTTTTGATCCGGGTAAACGATTTTAATTGATTAACTTTCCATTTAATCGACATCCTGTTGCATGTCCTTCGGCCGGCTACTGTTGATGATGATTGCACCGATGCTGCATAGTTATATATCTGTCCCCTCTGATGAGACAAAATTATGCCATAAATTCCAAGGTAAAGCCGGTCGGAAATTTTGCTAAACTAAATCGTTGCTTGGTTGGATTTTCAGCGCGCTTGGAGGCAGCTTATCTCGTAATATGCCCACACGGAGAGAAGATTGAGTACCAATCCTTAGACTTAATAGGCAATTAAGTTTGAAAGAGTTATAAAAGTGAAAAAATTCTTTACATTTAAAAACAGCTTTTTCTTTGCGTGTTTTGTACGTAATAATTTTCAATATTATTTATTTATTTAATCGCCAACCATTGATATATTCTTTTAATTCAGCTTTAAAACCACATATCTTATGTAAAAAAGTATATAAATTTTTGTATTTGTGACGAAAACGGTTATTAAATTCTTGCGTTTTAGAAAATAAAACACAATTTACTTTCATTTTCTTTCTGTGCAGCTATGCCCCCATGCACTATATCATAATCCAGCGGAGGCAATCAAGCCATCAAAATATCGCTGCAACCGAAAACACTTTCATTAAACTAAATTTTTATTGTGGCACCACACCAAAAGACCGAATTAAACCAAAAAAAAAAACACAACTGGGAAACGGACGATCTCATGGATCGGCGTCATTTTCATTTATGGCGATCTTTCAGCCGATTCAAAAAGATGACTATAAAACTTTGACCCAGTTTCCCCGACTGTTTTGCCAGTTGCAAGTTGGCTTTCAAGCTAAATTGCTACAAATTACACAGTTTCGGGGCGCAAAAGTGTGCCGCATGCGTGACAGGGCAGCGCGGCAACTTTTCCCCTTTTTGCCCTTTTGCAATTAAGCTCGAACCGATGCAGCAGATTAAAGTAAATAATATCTGATGGTAGTGCCATGTGTCCGCTGCCTTACAATAACTCATAAACTGTAATCACTTAGGTCGCAACCAGGCAGCAGGCCGCGAAACTAGTTATCCTTATCGATGTGCTCCACTACCCAAGTCCCCAAATGATTTCACATAGTGCCCCTCCGTCATAACTACCCGATTTCGGATCGCCTCGATTCGAATCGAATCGTACACATGAAAAAAAAACATTATCAACACTTAGAACCAAATTTCTAACCTATCACTGATTGCAAATCGTAAGCTTGTCAATGGGTTCAATGTGGTTTAAAATGAGTTAAACATACATAGATCAATTTTACAAAACAAGTAAAACATCGGTTTTTTAATTCAAAAGAATTCGAATTTTTTCGACTTTTTTTCTCTGTGTTACGAAGCAAAACGAAGACGCTGGCGAATCGAATCCCCAGCGAAAAACGCTGTTTATCGCCGTTATCCCCTTGATTTATCTCTCACTTATAAGGGCCACACTTTTCCCGGTCATAATAAACAATTTCATAATTACAATTGGGGATTAAAAGAATCGATATCTCAGGTGGGGCTTTCTATTTCCTTGCAAAATCTATCAGTAGCTTATCTAAATTGGAATTAATAGATTCTGAGCGAACTTTAATGCACACACATGCTGGATCGTGTAATAAAAAAAATATAACTTGTATTGGCAAGATCAAACTTTAGATTTATCGCTCTACGGTTTTACACTAAATATATTTTAAAAGTGTTTGAAGAACCACATTTGTATCTAATTTATTACAAGTAAAACAAAAGGTCTGCGATCAAATAAATAATCGAAATGCGGAAAACAACTTTCAAAATAATTTAAAGACTTTTTTAGAATAGTTGCAAATCTTATTTGCATTTCATTTACATTTAATTTGCATTTTTGCTGAAATTAAACACACGCGCATACATAACGTAAGGGAAACGGGAAAAAAACCAGAAAAAGAAAACACACTATGCAAAATGTTAGCATTCCACACTTTTAGTGTATTTTAATATTTTATAACACCATTATATTTACTATTCGCGTCATATATTATATATAAATAATTTAAACTAGTGCAAGTATTAAAAGTATCAATAATGTTCCCTGTTTTAATATTATTTTCATTTAATCATCACAACACTACTAATATTTTTACTTGGATGGTAGTTTTTTAAGACTCCACTAACATTTTTTATTGGACTCTTCAACAATTTGCAGATGTGCGAAGCGACAAAGCCGTTATCAAAGATTATTTCTTGGGTCCTTTCCTCGGTTTTTTTCTTTTTCGGTCTTATCGATACGATATGCGAACCCTGTTTGCTGTTTAAATGCGTATTGATTATCATTAGTTAAGTTGTTAACTGATTCCGTTTAGAGATTTGTCAGCCAAACAACTTGGCAGAGGATACCGATTCCGAGTCCACTTGTGAAATATTTTAATGTGATTTATCTGGCCGACTAACAACAGCGAAAGAACAAGGATCGTACGATCGATTGGGCCATAAATCAGGCGGAGATTTTGCAGCTAATGAGACAGATTGCCCCGTCTTCAGTCCTCGGGATTCTCCTCTCTTCACCTTTCATCTGGGGGTCAAATGCCGGTGGTCTCTTGCCGCGATATAGAAACCGATCCGATCCGATTCGATCCCCAAACGCAATTGCAACAAATGATATTTTATTGATATTTGATGAGCGTCGGCCGCTGATGCAATTGTCGGGTCAATAAATTTTAAGCTCGATATCGCTCATTAAAGATCGATCTTGCAGTGTACACTTGAAAAAAAGTATACATTTTCAACTTTTATAAATATAAAATGATCATTGACCCAAAAGAGTCTTTAAATATAAAATTCAGCTTGACACAAATTTAAAAAGAAGAAAATGCAATCAAAGTTCATCGAATTTGTGTTGATAAAATCTAACTTAAAGGAACAAATGTGAAAAGGTTTAAATTTGACAAGTAAATACTATTAATTGTATAAAAACAAGATTATTTATAAGAGTAATACTGTTTTACATAATCACATTATTAAATATGTATTTTTTTTTAATATTGGGAGTAAAAACTTAAAATTTCGACGTTAGTATGTTATATAATATATTTTTCCAGTGCATTGGGTCGTAATTGTGATGGGAATCGACCACCGGGTGCGTTTCGTGTGGGAGAAGCGAGTCCTAATCCACGGTTAAAGCACAAAAAATAACATCACATAAATAATGCGCTCATTGAGTTCCACTTCAATTCACTTCAGTTTGAGTTTGAGTTCCAATTTCGGATCGAGTTGTTTTTACGTCCCCTCGGCATTTTTTTCCCCTTTTTTTCACAATAAATCACGCGACAGGCCAATTAGGTTCGTACAATTTGCGATCACCGATCTCCACGAGGAGCTAAAAAAAAAAAACATTGATTCGAACTCCGAGGACCCAAAGGAATCAGTCGCTGAAACTCTTTCCCCTTCCCAACTTCAAACTCCAATTGCAACTCAATTAGGTCAGTTATGGATATTAATCCCTAGCTTATGATAATTTTGGTTATGGTTACAAAATAATTATCTATAGTTCGTGATATCTACATTACTTATGAGATTGGTCTAGGTAAAGAGATATGGAGCGTAGGTAAAATACATATCTTTGTTAACAAAATACTTTTGCAACCCCATTAACTTCTAATCAGATAATGTTGGTCAAGATAATTAAAAAGTTATCAATGATTCATGGTATTCTACATGACTAACCAGATATGATTCATAAATAAGCGAAATAGCACTCTTGAATATCAATTTATTTCAATTTTTTGTACAGTCACAACTTTCTTAACACTAGGAATGGTGATTTAAAAAAAAAAATTTTAACCATATCAAGATTCAAATTTATTTAAGGGCAGTTTTCATAATTTAAAAGAATACTTTCTTGGAAGTCCACAGTCCACATGCCACCAAAAACATGTTCCCTAGACCCAAAAGATTTAGGGAAACCGCGGAATTCACCGGAGCAAATCCCAGTCTTTGGTTGCCCACATCGAATTCAGTGTAGAAACGCCCCAAAAATACATCGCCCAAAATCCAAAAGTCCTGATTAATCGATTGAATGGCCAGGGAACAGAACTCTCCTTCCTGGACGACATAATACTTGGCCGAAATCCTAAATCCTACGCCATTAATGTTGATCACCAGATCCGGAATCGACTTCAGATTGTTGCATTGAAATAGACCATCGGCATTGGCACCAAAAATTCCAGCAATCTGATCGAATTCCGCTATAGGAGCGATAATCAAAGAAGTTCCAGTATCCGCTATTGCTGCATCGTTAATGCTAATAATAGTATTTCCGATTGTGATCGAATCAGTTTGGAATTTCCAATAGGCCGCCTGGATGAGATCCACATAGGTGAGATCACCGCTATAAAGCGATGGATCCGAACCGCCCAGGATTAGTTCGCCACCATAATTGATGGAAGTGCCATTGTCCCGCAGGAAAAATGAAAAAACGGGTTGCTGAACGAGATTCTGGTTAATCATATTCTGGAACGTCGGAGTAACTCCATCGACAGCCAGAGCGGGAAAACCCATACCTAGTATGCCATCGAAATAGGCGTACAAGAAATTGGTACCAGTCTCGGTGGTGACCTCGCCAAATGTCTGACTCTGGACAGTCAGGCCAGCAAAGCCCACATAATCCACCGATAGATAACCAGAAACACTGCCAGTTCCATAGGTTATCGAGAAGCCAGTTCCATTTGCCACATAAGAACTGGACTCCGATCCGTAGTACCTCCGATGATCCACACACGCTGAACTTAAACACGAACTTCCCGGAACCCAAAGATTCGAGGAGCCGGTATCGAATTGTACCAGAAAATACTGCGGTGGGCTTCCAATACTAATATTTCCGTAGTACTGTAAATTTTCATAGTTGGTTAGTTGCTCCATCGGATAACCATTGGCTGAGTTAAGATTATATTTCTGCTGAATAAAATCCCTTTCCGCTACGATATTTTTGTGGCTTCGCTTGTAGTGCGGCGATCTCTGGATGGGTATACGATGTAGTGCAGCATTTGCTACGCCATCTAGGAGCAGAACACCGGCCAAAAAGGCCAAAATTATTATTTCGGAACGAGCCATGTTCTCGATAGCGAACGAAAAACACGACTAACTGGGCTTTCACTATCAGTTTGGGTTCTTATAAAAAAGGTTCTCATACAAAAAGAAAAAAATAAATAGAGGAGCTTACCGATACCGATAACAGTGTCGTGTGTGTGGTTTTTGCGATTGTACGTTAATCAATCAAAGCATTTTACAAATCTTGGCTAGATAACTAAAGGTTTATATCCACGCTTGTGAAAGAATTCCACAAGTTGGGCATTAAATGCATTTTCAACGAGAAATAAATAAAAATTTTCGATTAAATTAAAATAAATTGTCAATTCAAGTTTAAGAAGTTTAATTTAAACTATTTATTTAGGAGTTCTTGCATACTATTTCATTTACAACAACTTTATATATATATAAATTATTCTTTATCGTTTAATTATGCATTTACCAAGATTTGTCCTAAAGCTTACCTCCCTTATCAGTTTTCCCCTAGATATATATTTTTAAATTTAACCTACTCATTGCGATAACTGGCTTTAACTTTCCTATCTGTTTTTTATCAAATCATGATTCAATGTGCGTTGATCACTAAAAAGTCACCCTTTGCTAAGACTTGATCGAAAATTCGAGGAAATGACAATATTTTCCTTGGATACCAGAAGTCTATTTTTATTTTTCGTTATCATGAACTCATGACATTGTACATACATACGTCATATTGTCAATGCGTGTTCAATAAATAATACAAAATATTGTTTGATTCAGAAAGCTTAAGAAAGATCAGTGAATAAAATAAAGATTTCTTTTTTTTTTTTGAGTAACAAGCGTTTACTTCAATTTTTTTAAATTATTTAATATTTTGATCTACCTCAGGAACAATTATTTATTAAAATAATTGTCTTTTAACCTAAGACCGGCTAGAAATGTAAACTAAAACACCAAACGATTTACAAACTTAATCTTAATTTTATTTAACTTAAGCAAAACAAATGTGTAACAAATATCTAAAAAAAAAAAATTTTCATGTGACAAAAAAAAAATTCTTTAGTTTGGTCACTAACAAAACATAGATATCCTCTGAAGATAATGTATTCAAATGGAAATCACTTCCTGTCCGGCAAATTTGTTATGGATCCGGACTGTATAAATGTTAATTAGCCTGGCTGTCCATTGCTAATGAAGATGTCAGTGGTCCGCTTAAAGGTGTGGGAATATTTATGGATTTACCAGGACTAGAAACCCAAAGTAATGCCTTTAAAAACTAGACCCACCAAGACGTACCAACGATGAATGAAGAAAGCCAGGCGGAAAACAAAGAGTTATTGTTTTTAATGTATGCACAGAGAGCTGAGGCAACGGAGAAAGGTCAAAGGACACAGCAGAGGTCCTCGACGGGTAGTATATATACAGTATGGAATGTATGTAGGTGTCAGCCACTTGATTAGCCATGACCTAATGTTGCACTACACACAATGGGCCATGATGAGGCCTCTTTGTCGCCCGTGCGGCAGTGTCAACTTGGATTAGTTGCGCTACCAACCGATCTTATACAGTCAATATATATACATACAGGTGCGGACAAAAAAATAACACTAGCAGTTTAAGCTGATATCTGCTTTTTTTTTAAAAACTGATATAAAATCCATGAATCCAAAATAAATTTATTGATTATTTGTTGATTTTCAACAATTTCTTTATACTTATACAAATTATTTTTTGAGTTTTTTTATTAAGTCAAGCAATTAATATTAATATTGCAATTAACTTATAATTTTGACAATTTGTCGAGACTATTGATTTAGTAGTGAACCAATACGTGTCTATAAAAAAATTTTTACTTTTTACAAAACCGGTTATATTATTGAAGTCACGACCTATTCGATTTGACATTTTCTCTATAGGACTACTAATAATTCAGCCGCAACTGTATATATATCCACTGATCCTTTTGCGTGGGCGCTCAAGTCAAACAAATTGAAAATTTATCACCCGAAGCGAAATGCACCACACACCGTACCCCGAAAAAAAACCGATGATGAGTTTGTGTGCCAAGGCAAATTAATTTTTTACACTATGCTACTTGCAACGGTGGCGATCACAAATTCACTGAACCATTCGCAAATTGATTTCGCTTTGCCCAAAAATGTGTCAACCGAACAATGTCTTTTCTCTGGATATTTCTGTGAGTTTTTCACTGGCTTTTCGGGTCTATCCAATTTCAAAGGAGTTTCACACGCAAATGCCGACTGGCGAAGCTCGTGGAAGTCATTGGCCCGCTGTGAACTGGGGTTACACTGGGAAAAACGAAATCTTTAATGTCATATTACTCAAGTTTTAGCTACTTTGCAGTAAAATTTTTAACTATAATTTTTAAAAAAGTTTTTTTTGCAAATTATTGGATAACATTAATATTGTTTTAAATGTATTGAGTGTGGATTTGTTATATACGAGTATATTGCCAACAATTAATTAACTCACGGGTAACATAACTTGAGCATTTTGTCAAATAAATTTCTGTTTCTGCCAATTTCCATACTTTTGTCAGTTTTTTACTTAATATTAGCTCATCATGAGGAAGAGACGTTCCCCGAAGTTCATGATGGTATAAAAACTAGGCATACATTTTTCTCAGTGAAATTCCATTGGAGTGGGTGCAGACTTTTGGTTCTGTTGGCTGGGAGTTGGAGATATATATCTTGGGCATGCTATATGGCCCTCGGACCTCGAGGCGCTGCGTTTTAACTTCAATTTCATTTCGCGCTGATCGATTTTTGCACGCAAAGTGTGAGGGAGTCCCCCGAATCCCGAATCCCGATACCCGACTCCCTTTTCCCGATCCCCGGATAACCCCCGAGTGCCTCTGTACTTAGGCATTGAATTTATTGTGCAGTCCGATCAATATTTTATTGTTTTCGCTAAAACTTCTGCACCTCCTTGGAGTTCTTTTTTCGAGGTGGTTCTCGTGGTGCGTTATCAGACTTTTGGGATTCTGACTTGGAGGAGAGATCGAAGGTGCAGCTTCAAAGCGCCGTCGGCAGCGAGGGGTTAAGGGGGGTCGGTAGAGGGTTAAGGGGAACCCATATCGGTTTCAGTTTCGGCCACATGCAAAACAATAATCGATGCCGGGCAATTGGGACTCTCGCTGCAGTCATTCCATTTAAAAACGTGTTAAAGAGTGCTTTCCATGGCGGTTAAAAGGGGGTGAATAGGGGGGCTCTCAGGGGGTTAAGATCACGCCCACAACTGTACCGCCCTGGCTTATTTGATTTTGGATGCGTTCATATTCCGCCGCCCGCGGCTGCACTTCATCCTCCACGTGAATTTATGATGTGATTTCGATCATTTGACATAATCTATTTAGCGTCTGCTCTCGTGCTCCTCTGAGTTCAGAATTTCCGACTTTGGGACTCGTACACGGATTCGGTATCCATATCCACCTCCTGCTTCAATCCACTCCGGCATTGGGGGCATAATTTGTAATGAGATAATTTTATTTGCTTTGCCCAATGACTTGTGTTGGGATTCTGGTTGGGTAGGTGGGGTTTTAAAACAGCGATTTCTGGGGATTCTCTGGGAAGTGCAGATGGTTCCGAAATGATATTCAAGTTAGTTGTGGCTTATTTATGAATGCTTCCTCGGTCGAATTTAAGAGTTCTTGAAGATTAAACGAAGTACTAAGTCTTTATTAGACTTGAAATTAGCATTTCCAATACAAGTTTAAAATTTTTTACAATCTAGTTTGTTCTTTTTGAATTCATTTTAACCCACACAGTATTTTTTTATCTAACAAAGCAGCTTCCCCTTTTTGTGACCACTTCCTTGTGAGTCATCCCAACAATTAGTAAACTCTCTAACCATATCTGGAGAAATTTGTTTTCACTGATAAAGGACACACGCAGGCCAGGCCAAATTTCCAAACCCCTTAGCCAAGTCGTAACTTTCGACCAAGTGATGCTATCGGGATTACTTTAATGTTACTTAGCTACTAAAGCAGCTACTGATCCTGGTTTTTTCCGAAGGATGCTGTAGATCCACCAGCTAACTAACACGCACTCTTTTACGAGCATAACTAATGTCCTCGGGTTTTTACGACTTTCACCTACCGCAGCAGTTGACAAGTCTTAACCCTTGAGGTTTTTTGGTTGGGGGTTAAGGAAATGCGGCTACTAATTGACACAGAAGCCACGGAAAAAAGGGACACGCGCCCCGCTCGAGCGATCTGTATCGCTTGAGAAGACTACTAATTAAGGGCCCAAGAACAAGGACCCACCGCACACAGAGTCCTTCGCCAAAGAAAGTGGTGTAAATAAATTTTTCTCCATTTTTTCAATACACTTGCTACACGGAGAAATAAAGTGTTTTGATATAATGATTAATTTCATGATTTTACGTATCCTTTTGGAGCCCAATACCAGCATTTTTCGAGAAATGAATGTCAGATTAAGTATAATAACAAATAATATTTTTGAACGGCGTTTTTCCTGTGTATCCAACATTGTATCAGTTTTGTTTTTTGTAACCTAATGAAATGTCTGGACACTGACCCACATTGTAAGTCAGACCCAAAAATCCAAAAATCCAGAGACCCGAACACCGTTAATGCCAGTGCTGATAGTTACTAATTGTTTGTTATTAGTGCGCACGCGGTTCTGTAACTGTTTTTTTTTTTGTGGGTCCGATCCCCCAGATCGGTGAAGGATTATGCTTCACTGGACCATTCATTGCAATCAAGAGGTCTCGGAGTCGGAGTCAAAGTCGAAAATCGGAGGCAACGAATCTCGGAAAGAACCACGCGTTGATCGATAGCCATCACTGTACTCAGTTGATGGTCGCGATCTCGATGGCCAACTTGTTTTTCAATCTGCTTTATACCCTCTGAATGGGTACTCAATTCATGACACAAAACTTAAAACTGTAGTCGATAGAAATTCCAGTTCTCAAAGAAATCCTATTTATAATATAGTCAATAAATTTAGATTGCAATGAGCAAACTTGTTTTTCAATTGATTTATAAACAAAAATATAGAATATACAAAAATGTAACTTGTTTTCAATATGTTT